GAGAATTTGGCTGCTTTTTTTCACCGTAATCAGACATGAAATGACTCTTTTCAAGAAAAAAAATTCGACTGAAATACGGTCGATATTCTGTTTCGTGCACGTCCAACAATTAAAATAATGGTAAAAGGATGTTTTTCTTGACTATTTGAGCGTGGGCGTTGGCATGCACCAAATCCGGTCCCACGCTTTGGGATCAATCAATTGTGCAGAATTCATGGCTGTTATTGAATGACACGAACAGTTGACAATAGAAGGTGTGGATCTCTTTTGTTGAATGGTATTTCAATAGTTTCAACACTCAGTAATTCTACACTCTCTCGTGGACAAACAGAGGTCAAGGATAAAATTGGTTTTCTCGCTCAGACACATGAAAATTATTCCGAGAATGTTTGTACAAACGTCTGCACAAATAAGTTTCTTAAAAAGACTTTAGATGGGTCAACACATGGGCCAATTCCTTTCAGAGCAACCAATTAGACTGGATGTGGAGTACGGATGGCTATGGCTGTGGGATGTAAGTGAGGGTGTAGATATAGGCGTGGATGTGGGTGTAGCTGTGGGTGTCCATGTGTTACATGGTAAATGGAAGACCCAAATGCATTTACCTTAGGACTATTCCTTGAGTTTCTTTGATTTCATGAGTTCGGAGAGTGCCGACAATTAACAGGGTTACATGAGTTCCAGGGGTACCTTGAGATTCAAAAGGTCCTTGAATTTTTGCAGCCATAAGATTTCCGTTGAGATTCTGTAGTTTTGTAGCTTCTGAGTGTTCAGAAGTTTTGGTGAGTTCTCAGACTTCTATCAGTCCCGAGAATTTCATGAGTAAAGCCGCATTTTTCTCAGTTCTAGGATTTTACAACTCGTGAAGCTTGGACAAGCCAAACAATCGATACCCACATCCGTTTGTACTCTAGCCAACAGTGATACCAACATGCAGCCGCTCGACACCCAGAATATTCGACTGATATTTATGGTTTGTCTTTGTTGGAAGTGCTCCAAAGGATCTAGTTCGTCTATAATATTTGGTTTAATAATAACAATCGATGACAGAATAGTGAAAAAGAAATTCTGAATCCGTAATTGATAGTCTAAAATTGCTTCTTCAGAAACTTTCCATCAAGACTTCTGAAAACACTGTAAACCGTGAGTCGCGTTGATGAAGGTTTTGATAGGGCTTCTTGTCACTGTGGTTGTATATTTTTGGATATATTTTCTTCAATCACACGTACAATTACACCACATATCTATCAAAAGTCACAGGCACATCGACATGATGATTGCAGATATTTTACTTTTTCGAAAATCAGACCATACCTTATATCATGTGTTTATTGGAAACAAACGGTAAGGGAAGTCTTTGAAAAGCTCTTTTAAAAAATTCATTTTTTTTTTGGTTAAATGTTTATCTATCTTGATAAAAAACGATTCTAGGATTCTTTTTCACTACTGCATTTTCAATAGCGATCTTTGCTTGCCTTGACTGATTGAATAGCTTATGAAATATCAACAGCTACTGTTGGCACATGTCATACATTGAAAGTGAAATCTTTATAGCTTTATTCTACTGCTAATTGAAGAATTTTTGGTTGGTTATCACAACAGGAATTGCATAATAGTCCGAACAGAAGAAAGAGCCATTTACGTGGAAAACAAGCAATCAATAAGGCTACACAAGCTGAACATCCTTGTTGTCCGGATTCACATAGTTCCTGGATATCATACAAAAAGATAATTTTATCAGCATGAGTATTCAGGCAGCAAAGACGAGATTGCTCTTGGTACATAATCAGTCGACTGCTATCCAATTCAATAGTTGTTTTCGATTCACAGCAACTAGAACAGCTCTCTCGAGATTCGGAGATTTTTATAAAAGTTTTCATCAGTGCACATAGTAAAATTGTTTGCAAAAGAAATATCACATGGTTGTGTTGTAACAGGTCTGGCCGTAACAAACACATGTAAGCTTACATGCAAAGCAATGATTAGATCACTTACATTTCTGAGTTCTCCAGTGGTTTGAAAATAAATGCCGTTAGAACTAATTGGAAGTGTAATATTATGTAACCACTCAGTTTAACTATCGTAGGAGTACAGATAATAATTGATTGCATTAAGGTCTGAGAAAAAGAAACGACCAAAGCATTGACAAATGCAATAATAATAGCATATCTTTTCTTTGGCTGAAGAGTGCGAGGAAATCAACGAAAAGGCATAATCTTAATGTTTAGTTCGATGAATAAAATGTTTGAGTCATTAATAATATTACTTTTATACTAGATAAGAAATTTAATATATTCCCAGGGTGTACTACTACGATTTCAAATACAGTCAACAAAACATTTCATATCAAATGAGAGCTCGCCGAAAACGAGGCTTATTAAATATTAAACAATAAAAGTTCAAAGACTTCCATATGTCGAGCTGTTGATATTTGTAATATTTTATCGATTGGAAGTACGAGAAAAGTTATTTGCGAGATTAAATTTGAACTAAATGTGATGCAAAATTAGGTTTATTTTTTCATCATCAACTGAATACAATCAATGATCAGAGTGACGATTGTTAGTATTTTTTACTACACAAAATCGACATAGACACAAGCATAAAAGAATCACGTCCAATTTCTGACAACAAACTACTTAGTGTTCAACTTCATCTTTGATTATTGCTCTAATATGTTATGTCACAGTGCGATCGGTTGGCTTTTTAGACCAGATGTAATTACCCCAAACTTAAAATCGTTGTCTTGAGGTAAATGGTAAGACATATTTGCTTGCATACACGGTGCTTTACCATGGATCAATATAACTTCATCGACGTCTATAGCATTGTGTTCATTCTTTAACAAAAGAAAATAAGTTCTCAATCAAAATTATGTCGCAAAATTATTGATCAGACAAAGAGTCGCTTTTATATTTGATAACCAAATATAATTCTTGGCAGTAAAAATAAAAAAATCCCAATACATGCTTGAGTTTTAACCATTTCACGGTATCTTTCATCTTCTTCAATATCTTCGATACTTGTTGCTCAAACTTGATCATTAAGATAGTTTGGTCTGCGAATTATACATGCGCATAAAATGCATCAGATGGTGTGAGATGAAGAATGTCCTCTTGTGTTCAACTTTTTAACCAATCGCACAGCCATAATCTGTCTGAAATGTGAGTTTCTGATAGGAACGGTTTTTGAACGATGTGAAACGGCTTTAATCCTTCTCCATGACGTTAGTTTTTTTATTGTTCTTGTTGCGACGTACTTGTTTTTCTTTTTTGTAATTTTCGTCGCCATAACCTAACATTTCTTTCCTTGTCGATCGCTTCTTTGTGATAATTTAAGCTTAGGACCAGCATTTGAATAATCAGCAAAGCATTGGTCATATGATTTTTATTTTCACCATTCTTTAACCAACCGAGTCGTGTGATGAAGGTTCTCCACGGTCTGTTGTCTATCTATAACTGTTATACCAGTATTGCGAAAAACAATGCACTTGATTTTGGCGACCATTCTCTCCTGTTTAGTATCATAAATGTCTGCCATTTTCAAGTTATTGAACTTATTTGATTCACCAAAAGAATAGATTAGCCTTTATTTATAAAATATATTGATCAGCAAATTATCGTATGTATCGTTCCGCAAACTAGTCGAACTTTTTGCGTTAGAACTTTATCTCGGAACGAAAAAGAAAAAAAAATCTTTCTAGCTAACCACTACTATGGGGACAGACAACAAAACCCAAAATGGTAATCGCGTCTTACGATCACCAAAACAATGCTCTTTCTTTTTTTAGAAGTTTCCTTTTTTTGCTGTCTTACATACTACTAAAAGTAGATTATAATGATTGTATTCAACAGAATTCTATAAATGTCGAGAGTTTGACATATGAAAGTTTTCGCTACTCTTATTATTTAACAAACATCATTTTCAACGAACTTTGATTGGATATAAAATGTATTCTTTACTGTGTTCGAAATTATAGCGGTATCCTCCTCGAAAAAATATAATTGCCTACGTAGTATAATTCATTTTTATTGCAACAAGAGAATAAATGAAGTTGATAGGGACGCTGTTTATCAATTTGTAGTAGGACATGTTGGGCAGGTGATAGGACTTTTTGCCTCTGGACAAATCATCGCAAAATATTCGTCACATAGGCAGAACAGTGCAAGAAAAAATTGTTGTAATATCACGTAACACTATATATATGTGTATATTAGGAAATGACTTTCTGACTAGTGCCGTTGCAGCTGTCAATGTAGGTGTTTCCTTCACTAACACTTACATCTGCATCCACACTCCATAGGAGAAAAATCAAGACTTCAGTACTTCAAAGTACGAATGAAGTACCGTACTTCACTCGTACTTCACTTGTGTTATAGAGCACTGAAGTGTCGATTTTTCTCGCTTGCTCACGTCCGCAGTTCACACACATACTCCACACTCTGTCGGAAATAGTGGGCAACTTGAACTAATAATCAAAATCGATCAAGCTCATATATTTATTCAATATTCTCAATTATCATGTTCAGAAAATTAAAAAAACAGTAGTTGCTTTTTCTCATAAAATCAGTAATAGTAGTTATCAAAATTAAAAGTTGTCTACAACATCGTTAAGTTGAAGAATACTTGTTGATATTGATAAAAACATTTGGTTATTTAATATAAATGAAGCGTTATCTTTAGCTTAATATAATATTTATCTAATAACATTTGTTTTACTTATCAACAAAGAGAACTTTCAATGTGCATGTCTTAATAACGTTTACTTTGAAACATAACGCTTGATCTTTCAGCAAATGGAAACAATTATTATGAAAACCCATACGATGATAATGTTGAGAGCAGTTTCTGCATGCCTTGATTGTATAAATATTGAATTTTCTAAATTTTTGTTTATTAAAGTAATAAAAGAAGCACATATCTACAATTTGAGCAGTTAAAAATAAGCAAAAAACTGTGAATTCACGCAATTAAGAGTAGTGTTAAGGCACACAAAAAAGTCAATGACGAGTGGATGATCCATGCGATGATTTTACAGGTGGTTGAGCCGATGCTGTCGAAGCTACACTACCTGCGTTGGATCGTACTGATGAAGAAGGTGATGGTGGTCGTCGTATTCTTGGTGATTCATTCACTTCGCCAAGATATGATCGAGCTGTACGAGGAGATTCCTCTTGATCAGGTAATGGGGATGCACGAGGTGAATATGATGGTGGTTCTTTACGTGTTGCAAATGAATGACGCCGCATGGATGGTTGAACAAAACGTTCTTGTTGTCTTGGTGTTGCTGGTGGACTTGGTTGTAATTGAGAACGACGTTCTCTTGCTCTAACAAAATCCGATGGATCTTCTGGATGATGACGTTCAAGTTGAGCTGCACGACGCATTTGCATTTGTAATTTCAAACGATTTGTAAAAAATACATGACGCCAACCACGTTTTTCAGCTAAATGAATTAAATCTTTATTTCGTAAAGCATGTCGCCCATAATGATTTATATAAAATATTTCCCAAAGATCATTATTACGACAAAGTGAACGAAGTGATTTTGATACTAATGATATTTGTGGAATATCATCAAGATTTACAAATGAAAGAATATGTATTTGAACATTTGGTGGAAGACGTGTTAACCAATCAAATTTACCATGAACTAAATTTAAACAATAATCAAGTGTATCTTGACCAAATATGCGCCATATTTCACGTTGAGCAACTTCATCATAATAAAAATCTTCATATGAATCCTTTATTTCACCTGGATACATTGAACCATCAATATTTCGAAGTGTTATTTTCCACCAACGAAGAATAACCTTTGAAGTAATAAAACAAAGAATTGAAAGTAAAATAGAAAAAAGAAAAAAGTTGATTAAATAATAAACCTTATCGAGAGTAATTTGTAATTGACCATAATCTTTTGATGGTGCAGGAGCTTGACCATCACATTCAAATACAGTACCATCTTCACGTAGAAGTTCTGATAAAAATGGATGTTCTTTTATAAAATGTCGCATGTCACATGTTTCATGAGGATGAACATTTTTATTATTACGACTAGATTCAGTCGCTACAGAAGCTCGACTAGGATCAGCACCTTTCTTTTTATTACTCGCCATAATTGTATTCAAAATAAAATGTGTTGCGATGCAGTAAACCTCCTCTTCTATAGTTACTTGTATCTTCAAGAACGCAAATGAAAACGTAACGTCGTAGAAAAAAAAAGAAAAAGTCACACACTACGTTCTCGACATTGATCGTCTGTTGATTCTTTTTTGACAAACAAAAAAAAAAAAAGAATTTCAGACATTCAAGAATTGGATTGGATTTTTCACTTTTCTTCCATTCCTTCAATCCAGGTTTTTTTTGTCACGTTTGAATTTGAACCAATAAAATTGAAGACATAGAACTTAGTTTTCATGTCGCCAGTATCATCATGAAAAAAACAGATAGTAAATCTTCTTTAACATCTGAAACAAGTAAAATGAATGCAACAAAGAAAATGTCAATTTTTGTTTTACAACCTAATGCATTACATGCTCAATGGCAAGGTGAAAAATTGAATAGCGTTTTTCAAGTATGTTTCCAAAATTCAAACATTAAATTGATGATTGAGATGTTTTTTTTTATTATCAGTTACTTGAATCTAGTAACTTTCAACCACATATGATTAATGAAGAAACAATGATTAATATGAAAGATTTGAAAGGAAAAATGTTTGTTATTGAACCATTTTCTGGTCAATTATTTCAATATTTAAAAAATAATAAAGCTTGGTAAAACTTTATCTGAATTTTTTTCTTTAGAATTTAATTTTTCTTTTTATCTACTAAAAAAACAGGGTTCTTGGTCCACAATTAATTACAACGTGTGTGGATCATAATATTACCATTCCATGTAGTTCTTATCCTCTTTATTCACTTGCTATGCAATCATTGACTATTTGTTGCACGAATATTTCACATGCTGATCGTGTAAGAATTAAATTTTCTAATTGAAAATTTAAGTATTTAATGATTTAATAGGAAAAAATTCGTCGATCAGTTGCTTATATGGGTGGTAAATTTCAAACAAATCTTAATGCAAATGTTACTCATTTGGTATGTGGAGCTTGTGCAGCATCAGAAAAATATTTTGTGAGTTTAAGAAATTGTTTTATTTCTAAATTTTATTTGATGAGTTAAAATAAAGGTTGCTGTTGAAAATGGAATTCAAGTAATGATGCCAGAATGGATTCAAAATGTACTTGTACTTTCAGGACAAAAGTAATGAGAAAATATTGAGAGTTCAATTAGTTTTGTTTTTTGTTGTTTGTTATATATAGAACAGTAAAAGGGACGGATTCAACATTCGATCGTTTTAAATGTCCACTTTTTTATAAATTTACTATTTCATTATCGGGTTTTGTTGAACGAGATCGTAATACAATTAAACAATATGTCGAACGAGAAGGTGCAACATATTCACCAAGTTTAATTAAAGATAAATGTACTCATTTGATTTGTAAAGAGCCAAAAGGTAAAGTTTCGATAAAAATATACAAAATGTCACAAACGTCTGTCGGGAATGCTACCATAAATATCTCTTATACAATTTAAGTGATTATGGGTGTAGATGTTGGTCTTTGTTTCATCTACACCCTCTTCCTCACATCAATGCTTTTATAAAACTGGTAGAATAAAAGAGGAAGCACGTTCTGTGAGATCGTCAAAAATTATAGAAGAAAAAGTCGACAAAGTTTATGATGTTTGTGAAAAGTGAATCACAATCAATTGTTTGAGCTGTCACAAAGACCTACTACATTCCAATAGCAAATTACACCTTGTTTGATTTCAATGAAAGATATTTTGTTCATGGAATGGAGTAAGCATTTGTAACAGCTACAACACTTGATTGTGGCTCATGTTTCATAAACATCTCGGAGTTCGTCTACTTTTTCTTCTGTAATTTTTGACGATCATACAGAATGATCTTGATCTTTCACTGTATCAATTTCACACAATCATTGAAATGTAAGTTTAATCTAATCTTCAATTGGTATGTCTTTACCAAATTCGATTTGTAAGTTTTTGTTTCACAACTATACGTGACTCAAAGTTGATCATTTATAAAACAACTTTTATTCTAATCTTTATAAGCGTAAACTTTTTCCTAAATTATATCCAAGAAAACTTTAGAGAACATACTTACATATTATATAAAAAATCACTTCAATCGTAGGAGAGAAATTTATGTCAGCTTTCTTGATGGGCTTTTTCAAAAACCTTGTAGATGTTCATTAAATGAAATTTTGTTGGATTAGGTTCAAAATTTGAACATGCAGTTAAATGGCGAATTCCTACACTTAAACCTGAATGGATTTTTGAAAGTAGTGAAAAAGGTTCATGCCTTCGTTTAACGAATTTTTTATGGCCAGCACCAAATATTAATTCAAACAGTAGTAAAGGTTGTTTCTAATTTGAATTTAATTATCATTATTTAGAACTTTAATTTATAGAAAATGAAAAACCTTTAATAAATGATACAGTTGATTCATCATCAAAAATTGTTACTGTTGATCAACGACATAAATCAACATCATTATTAACCGTAGAAGAAATGAATGATCTTGAAGAACGTTTTGATAAGTGGATGAATAATCGATCGAAAAAATTTGCAGATGATTTATTCGATGGTTTAAAGGTTTGTAAATTAAATATCAAATCGATTACAATAATTATTTGATTTTTAGGTATTCTTAGGTCAATTTTCGTCAACATTAAGGATGCGTATGCAAAAAATTCTTGATGGTGGATGTGCTGTTCGGTAAATCGATTCTTCTGTATGTGAAACTTTTAATAATCTTTTTTTCATTTTTCATAGATTTGATGCAATCAATCCATCAGTAACACATATTATTCGAGGTAATGAACCGATTTCAAACCTTACTCAAATATCTGTTATTGCACCAAAGTAAAAGTTTAATTTATTGAGTTCAGTTTGAAAATGAATTTGATTATTCTAGTGCTCATATTGTTAATCCACAATGGTTATTAGATTGTTGTGAAAAAAATGAACTTGTATCTGAAAATGATTATTTATGTTCATCTGATCGAGATGAAAAGTAAAAATTAAAGATTGAAGATTGAATCATATTTATAAATGAAATTTTCAATTTAGACAAGATTCGAATCCAAATTTAACAGATGATAAAAGGAAAAGTAGTAATTCAAATTTATCTATGCTATCATCAGCATCATTAACACGTCAACAAACAAGCAGTTTTAATGTTGATCAAACAGTACTCGTATGTCATCGATTTATTTTTGTTTTTCACACAGATTGTCAATACTAATAGAACCAGTTTAGACGAAGAACAAACACGAGTATCAAAACCAAAGATCAGAATGAATAAGCAAATCTTGATTCGGATTCGATTTGGTTTATACCGCAAAAAAAAGACACTTCCTTCATTGTCATACGTGTATGGGCAACCCGCATAAAGTTTTACTTACGAAGGAATGTTTTCAATCGATCAATCGCTTTTGGGCTCAGACTCTGTACCTAAGATTGGCTTTAGTGAGATATCCCAAAAAAAGCTTCAAAGAATAAGTTGCCTTCTGTTGAAAGTTGCAGGCAGTTTACTAAAAGTTTAGCCTTTGAATCTGTTATTTGAGACCTTAATATCTTGGGAAGAAAACATTGTTTGAGCGGAAGTATTCAGGATCTTCTACCGACAAATAGATCTATCTGTGTGAATATCTCAGGTCAAGATAGTGTCATTCTATTTGTTGGTATATTATGCTAAATCTATCGAGTTAAAGAAATTCGAAATCTTCAAAGTGAAGCTACAATACAAATTAACACTTCAGTGCTGTGAGAAGAAATGTTTTTTTTTTCTTATCGACCGCTGAAGGTAGCAGTTTTTGAATTTGCATAACAAACGCTGATATAGTTGTTTTCTTCTGGGACGAAGACGCATATATTAAGAAAAGAAGTGAGCTACTTTGAGGCAAACTCTATATCAGTTTTCTGATCTCAACTGCAGTTAGTAATCCGTAACCTGTATTGTATCAATTCCACAGCTTTTGAATAAGAAAAGTTTGATGTTTGATTTTTATTCATGTTTTCCAAAATCATTTTTTATCTCAATTAGCGAAGTAGAATATTTAGAAAAGTAAGAAATCATCAAATCTACATTTACTTATAACGATACGGCTGATCCTACAATCAAAGTAGTAAACACTCGGCATACAAATAATAGATTTCTATCCATATATTGACTAAAAAGGAACAAAATATCAACGTCCTGCTCGGCAACTCTACATACTGCATATAACTAGAAAAACTTTGCAAGGTATGCGCATAGAGAAATTGTCATGAACACAGCTACATACACATATATCTGTTTCCTTTAAAATTATCAATCTTAGAAAAACTCAATAGAAACTGACTTTTTGTTAATAGAAATACAAGTCATAGTTGAACTATATAGGAGACTTTTCATGCAAAGAGATTTATATAATTTGCTAAATCATAAGACACAAAGAATATGAACCGTATATTGAAGTAAATTGTATTGCTTGTGTTTGAGAGTTAATGAAGTGATTGTTGTTGAATTGAATTATTCGATAATTCAATTCTGTTTCGGTATGTCTGATCAGACCTAAGTATTGAATTGAAAAGAAGAAGAACTAATAAATGAAATTTAAAAGACAATGGTATAAGATAATATATAAAGAAACATAAAACATGAATGGTAATAGACAACTAAACAAATGCATCACTTTTGAATTACATAAACTTAGAATCGCATCTATGAGAACAAGATTACTATGTCGTCCAATCAGCTTATTACTTCCAGATCATAAACAAGTCTTGGTTACTAACTCCGAAATTCGTGTTCTTTCAATCATGATTCAATGCATTCTTTCACATACATTATAGTTCCTTGTGGTTTTAATATTTTATTATATCTTTCATTTAGATATACATATTCATTTCTATTGTTTTCATCAGTAATTCTATTATTTTGTTTTTAAAAGGGATGATATGACTCATTATTATTTTAGCAAGACGATACTCCTCGTCTTCGTCGGACACCTGGATCTGGTACATCAACACCTTCAATTATTACTGAATATGCTCTTTCACCATTTTCTTTACTTAAACGTTATTCAAATGTTCCACGTCCACCTGTTTTCGAACAAACATTAACTGATACACAAATTGATAAAATTAGTGCACAATTACCACCAACTGAATCACAAATTAATGTTGATCGTTTAATGTCTGATATTGATATTTTAATGCCAACTTTACTTAATCATCGAAAATCATCATCATCATTATCATTGAATACTGTTTCTACAGCATCATCATCGAGAATAAATATGATGTCTTCACGTTCATTTTTTCTTGCTCAACAAGCAAAATTAACAATAGATGAAGATTCATCATCAGAAGTAAAAGTATCATGGATTGATGATTCAACAGAAGCAGAACGTATTCGACAACATCAATTACATAATTTAGATGAAATGACACAATCTGATGATATATATTAAATTAGGTTTTTTTTTGTTCTATATTCTTTTGTGTGTTTTTTTTTCTTGTATAAACAAAAGACAACAAATAAAATTCTCTTACTGTTAATTCTAGATTCATTTAAAATAATGACTGAGGATATTAAGAAACAATCAGAAACAATTGGTAAATAAACGAATATTTTCTTTTGATAGAACACAACAATGAAAGTAATTCTTTTCTTTTTATTCATAGATAAATTAAATGAAACAAATCGTAAATTTACAACAAGTACAACTGTGAATATATTAAATGATCTACAGCTAATGAATATACATGAACAACATGAATGGCAACGTTACGAATTATTTCGAAAATACGAACAATTATTACCAAATAAAAAAACTTCTCCTTTCATAACTCAATCAAATTGTTCATCTGCATCGTCAATGGAACCAATAAATACACCATTGATTATCAAGTAAAACAATTTGAAAGATTCAATTTCATATGATAATTTTTTTTTAAATTTCTAGTAACAGTCATGAACATCAGTTAAATTCAATCGAAGATAATCTATTAAATGATATTAGTGAAGACTTACGATCACTTACTGAACAACGAGTACCAGAGTTATGTATTATTGATGGTGAACCAATGCAATTTACCAATGGTTTGAATTGTTTTTTAATTAAGAGAATTAAAAAATGTCTTTCTCACACTGTTTGAACTTTGTAAAATGTTAATTTTCTTTGAACTAAAACTATTGGTTATCTTAGAGCTAGTGCAGGAAGATTATTCATTACAAGCGAATATAATAGACAATTTCCGAATCGGTCTCATTCGATGGTCTCTCATTTCGGTTTCTTTTCAGTTCAGTCATAATTCATCAGGAAACCTAATTATGAATTATTGTATTGACAATATTAGAATCGAACTGAGAAGTCGTCGGATGGAAACAAAACGGGGATGAACTACTGTAACTGAATGAGACAGATTGTGATAAAACAAATAGTTGTTTTCAAGAAAAATCTTACAGGATATTTTTGGTGTTATTTGTCTGAATCTTGAAAATTTGTGATCATTAGTTTTATTGATAAAAATAGCATTTCTTCGTGTGGATTGTTTAGGTACGAAATTCTATTGTACTATAAATGATATATTAACTAGTGATGGTGAATTTTGGGTTGAACGAGAATTTTCAGCTGAAAATGAACGAAAATTTTATCAATTTATTGATATACTTTCATTATTTGCTACTAGCTATGAATCATTAAAAGAAGTTTATATTGGTCAATTAGTAGCATTACATTATGAATCATCTTGGCATCGAGCATTAGTAGTATCGAAAAGTGAAGGACCAACAATAACTAAACAACCAAGTGCACGTGTTCGACTTGTTGATTATGGTTCATCATTATATGTTAATGTTTCACAACTTAAATGGTTACCTGAACAATTTTATTTATTTCCTTTTAAAGTAAATATATACACTCGTCAAAGAAATTTGAATAAAATATTATTTTATGATTTGGTTTTAGGCCGTTGAATGTGTCTTTAGTGAAGCTATAAAACCAACTTTTTCCGATACAGTTCGTCTTACATTTAAACAACTTGTACTACATAAACGATTACGTGCTACTGTTGTAAGTTTTTTTCTAACGAGAAAAATATTTTCTATGCATTATTGCTAATAATGTAGTATGATAGAGATGGTACTCATATATGTGTATTATTAAAATGTAAAACCGAAGAAGGTATTGTTAATGTTTATCGATATTTACGTGCACATGAACATAAATCAAGAAGTGGTCGAATGCTAGATGACGGTGCTATAGTACAATGTTTACATAATACTGTTTTTAATAATAGTAATTCTGGTTATCAATCAACAATATCAAATAAATCAATGAATACATCTATAAATTTAACATTACCTATTTTATCACCACCATCACCAATCAAGTTAACACGTGATCAACTTGAAATACGACGAAAAGAAATAAAGAGAATTTATAAAGAACCTTATGATGAAAATAATACTAGTATAGTGTCCAGTGAAAGTAATGGTAATCTATCTATGTAAGTTATTAAATTGAAAGGAAAAATAGAAAACAAAACAATATTTTATATTAACAAATGTACTGAGAGAAAAATTTTCGCGTATGTTATGAAATCTTTCTTTTATTCTTTCCTTTAATTGATCATTTCCATTCCGTCTTATGTTAAATAAATTTCTGACTAGATTGATTTGAGAAGCTAATCTGACATTTATTATTTTACACAAAGCTAACTTATCAAAATTTGACATGGCTATTATCATTCTATGCGTATAATAAGATTTAAAATCTACTTAAAGAAAGAGAATAGAAAAAGTTTTGTGTCAAGAGCACTCGTTTATTAAAAGTATTTGAAGTGAATGTAGGATGATGGGTTAAAAACGGAGATAGAAGTTGTCAGAGGCATAATATGACATTTATAAATACGAAATCTTAGCAAAAAGAAATTTTGAAATTTCAAATATTTTATATTTTCCCACGAGCTGCACTCTATATCTATAATACAGAAGATAGATTAGCTAAACATCTTCCCTACAATTATGACTAGTTGTAACTCTTGACAAAAGGCCAGTCTGTCACAAAATTATTGCACTCAATAGCTTGAGTTCTCCATACACACAAACTAATCATATACAACCCACGAGAGCAAGTCCATGTCGCAACGTTGTCAGCATACAATCTAACGCATTATCGGAGACAAATAGCTGTTAGTCAATTGTTCAAGATTATTCTATGGCTGGTGTACTGAGATTTGAAGACATCAGTTTGTGATTGTGTGCCAAACAAGACGGGCACTTAGCCATGGCGGCTATTGAAGATAGAGAAAAGACGTTCAAAGATGAGAACTAACATAATATAAATGATTTTACCTCTTTAACATGTACAGTAGTACTCAAAATTAATTGGTACAATCAAAAGATGACTTTGCTTTTCCAATATCTCAACTGAGATTCAACACATTGAGGTGCAGGTTTTGACAAAATATAGCTTATGTTTCATAGGTTATTTGCACTAGATATCGCATTTGCTGCTTCATAACAAAAATTCATGTCAAGTTCAGAACAAAAAATGGTTCAATTTACAATTTCGAAAAAGAAAAAGGCATTTTGCGCAATGATTAGACTAGAGATGTGCGGAACCAAGATTTTTTTAAGAGTCGTTCTTGACTCTGACTTAAAGAATACTATTTAAAATTTTAGTCACATTAAATCTTTCACAGCGTAATTCGTTAAAACCCATAGAAAATTTAATTATAATGTTTTGTTCCTGTTTCAGTGGACTAGAATCGAAACTAAAACTAATTCTGCACATCTCTAGTTGAAACACGATGCAAAATACTTTTTCTTTTCAGAATCGTAGAGTGAATAATTTTTTGTTCTGAATTGATTTATAACGATATCAATTGTACACCTTTCTTTATTTTAGTAATGCTGTAAAAGATAATAAGAAGGTTCCTTCATCATCATCTCAAAGTACGCCATTCTCAGCTGGTACAATTATCACACCAGTGCCTCGTCTTTCATTCACTCAACAGTGAGTCGAAAATACAATTGTCGATAAAGAACAAATAGTTTCGTTTTTTTAATACAAAGATCATTTATTTTATTTTATTTTCTTTATGTTTTATCTTTTACTCATGAAATAGAATAGAGCAACAAAAGAGAATAAGAAATATACGCCTATATATTATATATCTTTATTTAATTTATATTTTTCTTTCACAACATTTATTAACAACAACAAAATAGACATGAAACACTAAGTATCGGGAGATGTAAAATTTATGCGAGTTGCATTTTTTGGTTTTTGATTGATTGTTTTTAATTGAAAATTTTCTTGTCGTAGTTGATTTACAACAAGTAATTCATCTTCACCATCTTCATCATCTTCAAGATTATCGATAAATGAAGATTTCTTTCCATTCGATGATAATAAGGGTTTACGATCATGTTGTTTTATATCTTGTTCATCATTTTGTTTTAATGATGGTTTTCGTACAAGTAATGGTTTTATATAAAATTCATTTAATTTTTCTAAACCTTTCATTGTATTTGGATTAGCAAAATGTATTTCATAATTATCATTATCATCATCATTCAAATTATGTTTTCTTTGATGCATATAATTTTCATCATCATTAAGTAGTTCATCAAATTGAATTGTTTTACTCATCATTGCATGTAAATTCATATCATCAAATGATTCTAATGAACGTTGGTGAGATAATGATGATGAATGTCGTCGAATAAATTTTACTACAGGCATGGTTAAACCACCTAGGACAAGTATTGTAAATAGAACAGTGACTAATGTAGTTGTAACAAGAGTTCGTTTAAGTTCTTCTTCACCTTCACCATAATATTGACCGACATGAACGGAAAGTGCGTACGAAATGGCACCTAAACAGAAAAGAAGTATTGAAATAAACAGAAGGATATGGTATACGGAAAAAACACTTTGTATGTGCTCATTCACTTATAGTGAGATGTATGAGAATGGAAATAAAATTTAAAATCATAAAGTAATACTTCCTTTTTTGTGTAACACAATCTAAAAGGAATGTTGAAGTATTAGGATAAAAATGTGGACCCTCTAAAGACAGTGATTAGAGTCCATCAGATCCAAGATTTTCAGACCAGAAAGTGGACCCGATCGGACGACAGTTTGGTGGTACTCTCAATGAAATTTACTAACTGATATTGAATAGTAGCCCCGACGATACGAGATAATTTTTCGGTTTTTTTTTGTGTTCGGCGACTAGCATATCGGACACATTTCTCAGACTACTAGAGGCCATCGGATTGAAAATTTTCGTACCCGAATAGGGCACGGACTAACTTGATGGACTCTAATCGTGACAGACATTGCTTATGTATGATCACATACCGTATATGAATAGCGTGTCGCTATAATATATAAACTACTTTCTTATTGCATTTTTTTACAATAAAAATAAAAATATGCTGACGAAATATGTCTCAGAATAAAGAATAAAACAATCTCCTTGAGATTAGCAACATCATATTTGACATCTTAATCCCACAAGAATTTCACTAACAGCTTCCTTTTACTAAATTCAGTCTAATTCTTCCACATCTTTTTTTTTATTGCCTTAATGGTCTTATGTAATATCGACATTATTCTTCTCTTAAAAGCTCGCATTCTTCTGTTTTTGTTATTCTACATAAATTGATGCAGAAATAATGTTACATTTTGTTTTTGTCCAATATGGAAGTAATCATAGTTGCTAACAACAAAGCTCTACTCACTTTATCTGCGAACACATTTTTCAGGAAGTACGGATAATGAAGTGTGCAAATAAAGAATAATAAAACATACACACACTCTCTCTCTCCCTCTCCCTTTTTTCTCTTTCCGTAACGAATGTATTTTAACTAAATAACTTCTACATATCCCTGCCAGATGAAATCTTTCTTTATCTCAAACATATCTTACCCTCTTACATGTATCTTTTTCTGATTCTACTCTTCATTACAGAATAGCATCCAATAGGATTATTCAACACGTTCTCTCTATACAAAATATCTTCCGATTTATTTAATAATCTTATCGAGTAAATCGAGTGATATTTTCATGTCGTATGCAAATATAAGTTATTCAAAAGAAAAAAGAAACAAATCGTTAACCTCTTAACCCAGCAAACCACATAATAAGTTGCATTGAAAATGTAATTCGATGATTTTTAGATCGAAAACAATTCATTACAAATGATAAAGGAAAAACATGTGCTGCACGTCCAATTAATGTTAATAAAATAGTCCAAAAAATAAGTTTGGGATGAAATGCATGTTGATATTCGAATATTCCCAAACCCAAATAAACGAAAACACAAGTTTCAGCTAAAAATGCTATGGTACGAAAAAGTACCGTTATTGATTGACGGCCAACAGTTGAAAGATTTTCATGTGTATAATGTGACATTGTTAAGCCACATACAAGTATTGACATTATACCAGATAAATGAAATAATTCAGCAAACATATATGATGCGTATGCAGTTAGAAGTAGCAGTGAAATTTCTAAGGACAATGAACTTTTATCAAATGCCAGATATTTTGTTAATAAGGCACTTGTTAAACCAAATAAAAGACCAAGAAAACCAGAAGAATAAAACATTAATGAAAATCGAGTAGAGATTTGCATTAAAGTTTTAATCGATGTAACGACTTGCGTTGTCCATGGTGTTGTTGTACTATTGATTTGTATAGCTCGTTTAAATTTTAATGATGCTATAATGAAAAAATTATTTTGTAAATAAATATCAATATCAAACTTAATGTAAAAAAGTTTATCTTAATTTTCGATTTAATTTTTAGTTTTGACAACTTACTTTTTCTTTTTTTCTTTGATGGAATATTGTCCCTATCTGAATAATCATTGAAAATATCTGGATCAGTGCGATCTTCGATGTCAGTATTCGTTAAAGGATATTTATTATCATTTTCATTTTGAAGGAAAGCTGATATGTCTCCTTTTGGTTCATACAAAGGCTTTTGTTCACCACGATGAACTAAATCATTATAAGTTCGATGTCGCAGTGATGTTGTTACTGATGGAATCGTTGTAAAATTTGAACTTGCTAATAAACCAATCATTGAATAACTTGTTAATTTGGTTGTATTAATATTTCCAAATTGTCGTTTTGATTCTACAATAACATTTGTTAATACAATAGCCACAGCATCGTTTAAAATTGATTCACCAAAAACAAGCATATATAATAATTGATCAACATTAAGTACTTGAAATATCGATAAAATAGCAACAGGATCAATAGCTGAAAGAAAAGAAAAAAAACTAACAAAATAAATTTTTTATTAATAAATTTATTCTTACCAGAATTAAGTGATCCAATAATAAAACATTCTCTCCATGGTAATTTATATGATAAATTAACTATTCCTAATAAATAAAGACCAACGCCAGTAACTAATGCGTTTATTGTTGTACCAAATATAGCAAATGTTGATATAGTTCCAAGATTTCGAAAAAAATTTCCTTTGTGTAAATGATAACCTTGTTCAAATATAATTGGTGGAAGAAAAAGCATAAAAAATAAATTTGAATTTAATAATGGCGATGATGTTTGAACAATTGTTGTCGAAGATTCAGTAGTTTTTGGTGTCCATTGATTATATAATTTAATGACTAAACCAAATATTCCACCAATATATATAATTGCAACACTTTCCGGTAAATAATTAAAACGTTTTCGAATAAGTAAATGAATAATCAAAACACATATTATCAATAATATAAGTAAAAGAAATATTTGTGTTGAAGATGACAATTCAGACATTATTGCATATGCTGTTCAAACTGCGTAACGGTGCATATACAAATAAAAAACAAGTCACAGTTACCTTTTTGTCCTTTCTTTCTTTCTTTCTTTTTTTTTCCTTTTTTCTTGTCACTATTTGTGTGCACAGTACACCGAAAAGAAGAAAAAAAATAAATCTTTTTACCAGCAGTACGCTACTACTATGACTATTTTTGCTTTCATCGTTCAGTCGATCGCTCGCCTACTCCGCCTATTCGCTTCTTTTTTTTTTTCTTTTTTTTTTCTCTTTTTTCTACAAGAGAAAAATATTTCAGAAAAGGAATATTTTTCCGACTAGAACACAACAATGCAAAAAAAAGGGAGAGAAAAAAATAGGAACGACAACTCGTTGACGATGATGTAGCAGCCGGATCTTCAATAGTAATGTTCGTTCTATAGTTCGTACGTCTATGCAAACAGTTTTTTCTTCTTTTTTCCTTTCGCCCGTCTGAAACAATAAATAAGCCCCAATACTAGTTTCCAATTAGAAGAAAGAAAAAGACGAAAGAATTCATAAAAGATCAATTGGAACGGTGGCTTGAAGGCACTAGTTTTCTTTTCATAGGATAAAACACATTAAATCATATTGTCGTGCAATTTGATCATTAACAAAATATGTTTCTATTTAAATCATGTTATCATTGACATGAAGGAGGTCAAATTGATTATATTCGATATATAGACCGATGATTAAGTATTTTCTCTAAGGGACAGTTTTCAATGTCAATTTTGGTTGATTGCTTCTTTCGATTATTGATGTTGAAATATTGATGGCAATGTTTGCTGTAATAATGCATAGGCGGCTGGAGCATTTTGGAATGAGTTTTGGTTTCTTTCACATCTGAATAATGCATAGTTTCAATGGTGACAGGAGAATCTTTTGAATTAAATAGTACATTGGAAAAAGGAACAATATTAGGCAATGGTTCTAAATGTGAAATTCTTTGTTTGACAAGGTTTTGAGATAGTTTAGTCAATGATCTTTTCGGTTTGATAAAACTATTGACTTTGCTATTGTTACTAATATTTAATATTGAAATGCCAGATGGCAGACCTTCTTCTGAATGGATAGAATAAGTTTGTGTATTGGATTGTGATCTGGATAATTTCATCCTCTGATTTTTATTATCATTTGTTATTGGGATTAGATCTGTTAACTTGCAAAATTAAAATGTTTACTTTATTTACAATAGTACATGCCTACTATTAATGATTCATTAATATCGTTATTTTGATTCTTTACTTGCTCTTGTATTACATTTTTCATAATTGATTTTCTTTTATTTCGCTCTTCTTTTGCGATCGATGTTTTTGACTCAAGTATTGAGTTTATCTTTTGTTCAATACCAACTAGCGGACATTTTTCTGTTGAATAAGTATCAAATGAAACAAGAGACAACGATGAAACATTCGTTGACTTAGGTTCTTTCATTAATTTATTTTTTCGTGTATTCACCAATGGATTTTGTGTTAACATTTCAGCCACATAACTCTTGGGTTTCTTCAATTTCAACAGACGATTTTTACTTGATTCACTACAAATTTTACAATTACTATCGAGGATTTAAAACACGAACCATTCTGTATTAGTTTTGATAGAAAGTAAATACAGAGAAAAAGTGGAAAGTTTTACATTTGATTACTAGACCAATTTTGTTGATTTTCATTGCTTTTCTTAGATGATTGATAAGATGTTGATGAACTCTCTGATGATTTACTTTTCTTCTTTGTTATTGATAAATCTCTATGCTCTGTTAATTTTGTTTTACTATGCGATTGATTTGAGTTTTGTATCAATTTTGATGGTTCCCGTTCGAACTTCATCTGCTCTTTACTAAGAGATGACAATGTGTTTTTCGGCTTTTCATATGCATGTTTAGGTGAGAGTGAATTTATCTTGTCTTTTGTTATACGATTTAGCGTAAGTGTATTATCAACTACATCTACTGGTTCTGAAACATCAAATAAATTATAATCAATTCTAAGCAATGAAAAATCATACGTCGATTTTCTTTGATTTTCCATTGATTACGTGAGATATCTTCCATAATTAATGTAGCCGCCTCATGAACATCAATTGCAGGCTATGTAGAAAAAAATGATTTTAATAAAAAATATTTCTATTATTTATCAACCATTGTATGAAGTAACTGTTTAGTTGAACAAGTAGTAAATCGACAAATATTTTCAATCTAAAACTAATTTAATATTCATCATTTCTAAGAAATTAAATACAAATATTTACCATATCTAACGTGATAATAGTTCCTAGACGATCGAATACTTCACGTATAACTTCATTGACAAAATCTTCAGTACGTATTGGCTATTATAATTTATTTTATTCATTAATAAGAGATGAAATTTAATAATGATCTACTTTCAATTTTTTTAAATATGGATATTTCATTGAACCGACTGTTTGTACTTGAGCAATCGCTTCTTCTAATGTTATCGTTTGCTATTCATTCGAATATAATTAATACAGATGACTCATAAAAAAAATGTACTTCTTAGTTTTTTGCATTTTTCTTAGCAACTTTTCGATTAGAAATGCACCAATGTCAATTCTTGGCTTGAGTTTTGCGCATCGTTGATGTCTCTCAATATTATTGCTTATATGACTGTGAAAGCTGAATTATGATAAACAATCTAGGAAATGTCCTAAATAGCTTTACTTCTAGTTGCTATAGAATAATGCTCAATATCAAGCATCTGGACAGAATATCGAACAATAACACCTATGAAAAAATGAAATAAGAATCCTTGGTATGAACAGTGTAACGTAGACAGTTACGCTTTGTTGAACATTTTCTTCACAGAAATCCAAGCGATATTACCAATATGTATGTTCTTTACACACCAAAAACCAGTCACGGCAAATACAAGCGAAGTCATCCACGCTCAAAGTATTTCAATTACATCGCAAGGCTGATTGACAATGACACATTTTATACACGATTGACGAGGTCAGAAAGACTGTGGCAAATAAGAAGAATTGGTATAAGAATGTTGTCGTCTGTGAAGCTCGTCTGTTTATAGTCGAATAATAATCATTGATGCATCTCCACTTTCAACATAAGAGGACAATTTTTTTAATCTATTTCTCGTTCGATTCTCTAGAAATTTGCATCTTTCACTTGAGTAGAACATTATACATTCTTTGTTCAAACCCAATGAAACACATAGATTCAGTATGCGTCATTTTCAAAATTCTTTTGTCATCAAGCTTTCTTTTTAATTATACAATATTTCAATCAATTATTAGCTCTAATGAAGTCTTCAGAAGGATCGAAGATTTATGATTATTATTGCTAATTCATAGATAGAAAATAGCACAACTTTTTTTTTTTGAAACTTTGTCCATATGCTCATCTTCGGCATTCTTTCGTTATTGATTATTCATAATGATATTATTGATTATTTTCCGTATTTAGAAGCATTTTTTTGTTACAAAAATGCCAAAGGTGATCATATGCACCAAATTTCAAAAGCATTGCAGCAATTTCTATCTTCTTGATTATCAATGATGGTCATTTGTCTAAATAATTAAGTCTCGGATTTTTCTCAAAACTTCATCGCAACTAGTTTCGGACTGATAATTGATTAAAATCTTATATGGTTAAAAGCGAAGGCTGACAAAATCATCTACAAAGTCTAATACAAAAAGCTTGACAAAAAAAAGTATTTTGTAAGTGACGTATTGTGAATTTATTTGGTTCATTGGGACTTAAACAAATAAAGCATACTGTTGCGTTTAAGTAAACGATGCAAGTTTGTAGAAAATCAAATGAAGAATCTATGATAAAAAATCTTCTTATTATGTTGAAAAGCTACTGAGAAGTTCATTCTTTGTGAATCATCCGTTATAAAATGTATGTAAAATTTCATCTTACATTTTTTTGAATAACATCCTTCGCTTCATTGTGTAAGGTTCGAATAACATCAGGTAACTATAATAAAATCAAAATAATTTCTTATTGTAAAATTATGACGAATTTCAATCAAACTTCCGATATAACAATATTATGTTTAGCTTGTTCAATAATATAATTAACAATATATCGAATAAATTCAATATCTCGAGTATTTTTCTTTTGTAAATCATCCTATAAAAATCACAATGCTATTTACTATGAAGATTTTTCTTTTTTAACTAACATGAAATAATGATTGTAAATTCTGTTGATAATTTCCATATCGTTGTTTCAATCGATCACATAATGATACTTAATATTTTTAAAGTAAATTTTCAAAAATACTTTTTCTGTTTTTTTTCTCTCTCAATAAATACCCGATGATGGATTTAATTTATAGGTCGATGAAAATAATTCACACATGATTAATTTGAAAATAGAAATTAATTAATAATGAGAAAAAATGTCAAATCAAGTAATATATTATTATCTTGTTTTAGCGGCAAGTCAAGTTGCGAATATTATTTATATACAACGAAAAAGAAAAAACAAACAAATGACAAGAAAAAGAAAAAAAAAAGTATATTTAAAATAGATATCTATTTATATAATCAAGATAAGTTAGCTGTTTTTAAACCATCTTCTATAATCGCTATCAAACGTTGAGCTTCAGTTGATTCTGGTACTTCATTTTCATAAACATTGCCGAATACGACAAGTCGAAGTAAACTTACAGCTTCTAGAAAAAACAAACATTTTATTTTATTTTTTTCAAAAGCAAAAAATATACAAATATTTTTTTTCTTACCATAATATTCTTCTGGTATATCAACCATATAGACTTCAAATGTAACGAGAAAAAGAAGTAATGCTTGTTTTAACATTCCTTGACCTGTTGCTAATTCACAAAGTGGTTTGCGACCATAGAAAAGGAAATATGATGATGTTCCATTAACAAAATCCATTACAGTTAATCGTAAATGACTACTATCATCTGATTCTTTATCATTTCCTTTCACACTGTCAGTCTAGAACAAAAAGCAAAAATTTATTCGAATGAAATTTAATCTAAAACTTTCATATTTTTATGATTTCTCACAATAATTATCATACTGGTAATTATTAATAATGAACTCGTTTTTTTTCAAAGATAAACGAATGAATAACACTCAACTGATCAACAATACAAATTAACATACAGTAAAGTGAATATTGAGTTCGTAATAAATATTTTGCACTCGATTATCTTTAGTCAAAATATTACTGAGAAGCGCCGGAACTCATAATCACCGTTTGAGCTTACAAGGAAGTAACCATAAGACTAGAAAAAATCTAAAAGACTTTGCCTCTATGGGTCCGTGAATCCGAGTTAAATTCCTTTTTGACTCAGCTTGAGATGCACACCGAACAATTAAACAACAACATTTCGACATGAAATTTTTCCTATATTATAGGTCGAATGACCCATAGAATATCCTAAAAATTTCAGTCGAAAAGATTTTTCAAGTAAACTCGATATTGGGAAAAAGAAGAGCATTATTTTTAGCTAAAAATGTTTATAATACTCTATGGTTTATTCAACCTATCTATATACGAATTTTTTCTCGATTTCAGTCGAAATCTATAACTGAGTCAAAAAGACTCAATATGAGTTCAAACAGTATACATCAATTTTCTTGTTAGCGAAACATGTTATGACATAGAATCATTTTCTTAAAAAAAAACCTAATATATTTCCTTTTTCTATTTTTGCTTAATTATTCAAATGCATTACTTATCTCTCTAAATGTAACTACATATTATTATATTATTTCTCACTTGTTTATTTTGTATAATAAAATTACAATTCAATGTTCGACATAATTGCATTAAACATAAACGATATGTTAAATCCACATTTTCTCGTTTTCGTATTGCAAAATGTTTTGTTAATATATCAAGTACAAGACCAATTGTTTTACTAAATGATGATATATGTCTACCACGTAAAAGACCATATTCACCAGTTAACTAAGATATAAAAAAAAGAAAATATTTTAACATTTAATTTTTATTTCAACGGAATACTTACAAATTCTTTTCCAGCCATAAATGGTAATTCTTGTAAAATTCCATATAGATTAAGATCAGCATTATTACTTAACCATTCACGTCGTCTCGTATGTGTTTTTGATAAATATTGTTTATATAATGTTGAATATTGAACTTGACCTTGAATCTGACGAAGTTTAGCAGTTATTGCATCATAATAAGCATCATCTTTAGTTATACAACAGATGTTTGTTATTTTATTCTTTAATTTTAATAATATACTTACTATTTTGATGTATTCGATTATCATTTTTTTCAATTCGACCTGATTTTGCACGAATTTTTTGACGCATATTACGCATTTTGATCGATAATTTACGACAGAGTAAAGCCTAAAAAGAAAATCGGTAAGTAAAAAAAAAACAAATTGAACTTCTTACTTCAGGTTTAAGATGATTGCCTTTTTCAGCCAAACAAGGATATTTTTTAATTAATGCTAAACCAATTTTACGATATTCTCGACCAGTTTTTAATTGTGGATAAGTTTTCATAAAAAATTCAGCTGTTTCATTTATAAATTCTTGTAATACTTGTGCTGCTTGTCCTGTTTAGAAAAAAAAAAATTTTTATTTCGTTATTTAAAAAAAAAAAACAATATATCTACCATTTTCTAAACATGTTTGAACACGTTCTGAAAGTTCAGGTAATTGAGGTGGATGTGGAATAGGTGCATAACAACGAACACGTCCACCACTTCGAGAAACGGGTGTCATTGCACTTCCGCTTTCTTCATCTTCACCCATTAGACTCATATTAGGTGTATATAATGTACCACGCTAATTAATATGAAAAGTTGATTTTAAAAAATTTTCAATTAAAAACATACTCGTTCAGAGACTGGCATCCATTCAGGATCTTCAAATTGAATCTATAGAAAATTATATATTTTTAAAATTCATGTTTTTTTTTATATGACTTAAGAAATATTTTACATCAGCAAATTCATCTTCACTTTTTAATCCATATTCCATTGAATCATTTGGTTCCATTTTTGTCATTCGACTCACTGTTCCGAAACGTTTTTTTCCTTCTAGTTTCGGTCGTTTAAGATAACTATTTCGACGATGTGTATCATCATCATCTGATGATGCTTCATCAATATCATTATTTGTTCGTATGGTTGTTGTATTTGTTGATGAAAGAAGTCCACCTGTTGACGTTGAACTTTTAGTATTTGTTGGTGTTGAATGGATTTTCCGTATATGAATTTTAAATCGAGCTACTGATGGAAATGTTTCTTCACATCCATCAACTGGACATGCTACTTCAACTTCTTCATCACGATGTCTTATATCCAAATGTTCAACATAAGCTTGAAGACTTCGAGGATATATATTACATATTGTACAATGAAGTACACGTTGTGTTGATGATGATGATGATGATGGACTATTGTAATCAACAAGATTAACACGATTCAATGACATCTTAAACGAGAGAAAGCAATAATTCGCGCATTTGAACAAACTTTTCTTTTTGACCACATTAATGGTTTCAATATAGGATAGTTTTATATAGTAAAACAAAAAAACTAAGCATCTATGCTTCAGAATAGAGGATGCATAAGTGCGCACACAATGGATGCACTATTATGACCGATAGAAGAATAAACCAATAGAAAATAAGAATTTTACAACTAGTGACATCTTACGAATGTTTTCATCATTGGAATGGAAGACTTGACTTGACGACATAGAGAAAAGATGAATCATTAAAGATAAAGCTATAAGGTTTGATACGAATTATTAATTGTGAAAATATTTGCATACTTTTTCATTTTATTCAATAAAAATAAGAATCAGTAAGATTACTGTATAAAATAATAAACACTATTGTAAACAAAAATATTTCTGATTACCAAGTTCGATGATTTGTATTCATGATAACGATCTTAACAAGTTTCTCTATCTGTATAAAATTGCTAGATATGTCATCATTAGTTTCAACGAAATAAATCATTAACGAATCAAAAAAATAAAAAGTCGAATTATATGTTATGAGCAACTTTCATCAGTAGTTCATTGAAAGAACATCATTCGGAAAGGCTTTTTTATTCGATAAGACCTACTTTTTTTCCTATATAATTCTTTGCATGGTCAAAATGGATTTTATGTTTATACTTAAAAGTTAATTGAAGATTTATTATTTATTTATTATAAATTTAGATGTCTACTAGAGAAGAACAACCATCGAGTTCAACAAATGATACTGATAAATCATTAAAAATTTCTAAAAATCAACAACGAAAACAAAAACGTTTTGCATTATTACTTGAACGACGTAAATTAAAACGAAAAGAAGAAAAAGCTAAACAAAAACAACGTCGTGTTGAGAAATTAAAAAATGCTGAAGATCAATCTCTACTTACTCGTCATGGTCTAAAATCTAACCGTATGGAAAATTCTTCATGTCGTATTCGAATTTGTATTGATTGTCGATATGATTCAATGATGAATGATAAAGATATAAGTAGTTTACAAAAACAAATTGCCTTTTGTTATTCAGCAAATCGTCGTACATCAACACCATGTCAATTCTATATAACAAATGTTGATGGTCAATTAGAAAAACGTCTTGAAGCAAATTGTGCAAAAAATTGGGATATTTATTTACGAAATGAACCATTAGAAGAGGTATTTCCTCATGATGATATACTTTATTTAACAAGTGAATCAGAAAATGTTTTAAGTAGTACAGAACCACTTGATGAACGAACTGTTTATGTTATTGGTGGAATTGTTGATCACAATTCTCGAAAAGGTTTATGCTATCAGTTAGCTTTGGCAAATAAATGGCGACATGCACGTTTACCAATTGATGAATTTATTAAATTAAATACACGTCGTGTACTTGCTTGTAATCATGTAATGGAAATACTTTTAAATTATATTCAATTACAAGATTGGAAAAAAGCTTTTGAACAGAATATACCTAAAAGAAAACAAGAAGTGAAAGCAAACATTGATGATGATGATGATGATGATGATATACCAAAAACTGTTTCACCTAATCATCCAGAAGAACCGAAACCATGTGCTGAAGTTCATGAACGACGAGAAGAAGTTGCTGAAGCAGACACCCCTCCACCTATTAATTTATAATTCTGTTCGATGATAACTTGTTTTTTTGTTATTCTAGATTTAAATGGCGTCATCATCGTCTGCTAGACGTCATCCACCTCTTCGACCTTCATCAACGACTAATCGAGCAGGTCGAGGAGTTGAGAAACGAGTTAACACTCCTGCTCTTTCCAATGATATAAATGACGATGAATATGGGATTGCTAGTGGTAAACAAGTGCCACGTAGTTATTTGCTCAAACTTATTAAAAG